CGTACGCTTACCACTCATACGATAACCATTCTTATGGGAAGCCATTTCAATGTTACGGCATGTCGTACCGTGCACGTGCTGTAAGTCAGTACCGTTTTTTTTCCACTCGTACGATAATCATTCTTATGGGAAGCCATTTCAATGTTACGGCAAGTCTTATTCCGTTCGCGCTGTAAGTCAGTACCGTATGTTTCCCACTCATAGGATAAGCATTCTTATGGGAAGCCATTTCAACATTAAGGCATGTCGTACCGTGTACATACTGTAAGTCAGTACCTTATGTATGAACGAAAAATATGAACTATAGGTCACTATGGTTACCTGTCCACAAGCTAGACCCATGCCTCTCTCTCCCATACCGTGTGGGCAGGACAGATTCAACTCCAGGGCATCCGCACCTGCGTCCTAGAAGATGAAGATTTAGGAATATTGGTTATATATCCCGTTACCATGGATACCAACAAAGCCGTTGTAACGTCACAAGCGTTGACTAACCTCTGCCATCTTGGCGAGCTCTGTCCAGTCTTCCTTGATATAACCACACATGATGCTAGCGATGAGTATCTATGGAAACCGAACCTTTCATTAATAAATATTTAATAAGAGGAAGCCGTAACCATAGGTACCCCAAAAGCTTGAAACTGGTCCTACCGCAGGTAAACCAAACCTGGACATTTCTCAACACACATATTACCCAACACACCTGGTCTTTGAAGTCTTTCTTCAGCTCTGTAATGGACCTACACCAATAGGCAGCAGTTTTCTCGCTGATCAGCTCGATGTTCAAGAAAGAGCCCTGTCCGGGACCATACACGTTACCCGAGGTGGTCCCGCGGACGATTCGAGGCGACACGTTGGTGACAATATCCTGAAAATATAAGATGAAGAGTTTAAGGTTCAAGTTAAGATTCTAAATTAACCAGTCAAAGACAACCTCTCTTTTTCCTTATGTCTTACTGCAAGTATAACATTCCTAATTTAACCTTAACTGATATCCGCAGAATGTTCATCACCTGAATCAAATGGTTTTAATAGACTTCTGTTTGGCTGACAGCACGTGGTGTACAGTCTTTGACAACCATTTACAGCAGATAATGAGATGTAATGACTTTTATCAGCTGATTGAAACCCAGTTTTTGGATTCTTTCTGGTTGAAAGCACTTGGTGCTAGGTGTTTGGCCAATATTTGGAGGAGATAATAAGATGTAATGACTTTTATCAGCTGATTGAAACCCAGTTTTTGGATTTTTTCTGGTTGAAAGCACTTGGTGCTAGGTGTTTGGCCAATATTTGGAGGAGATAATGAGATTTAATGACTTTTATCAGCTGATTGAAACCCAGTTTTCGGATTCTTTCTGGTTGAAAGCACTTGGTGCTAGGTGTTTGACCAACATTTGGAGGAGATAATGAGATTCCGAAAGACTTTTATCAGCTGATTGAAGCCCAGTAATAAACCTAGACATACACTATACCTTATCCAAGCTAAACGTCTTTGTCAAAGCAAATCCCCATCCAGCTTGGAAACCTCGCCTCATCATGGCTGACGTGGTGGTAGGAGGAGCGCTCGCAAGGCCAAATGGGTTGGAGAACTTGAGCCCGCAGATTTCGACACTGAGGTCAACTTGATCGACGGGGGTGAAGAACCGAGGGAGACTGGGTTCGTCAGGGACGGTGATGTTTTCAAGGGACTGGAAAAGAAAATTGCGAGAAATTTTCATAAGTATGCTACGATATCTTTGGGATGCCTGTGGTGGGCATTGCCACAGGAAGACCATACCTGTAAATACTTGTGAATGAAGAATGCAGCATGTTTTCCATCGTTGACACTCTCAACAGTTGTATTAGCTGCACCCGCCAAGTCACCACCACAATACACTCCAGGTTCGCTGGTTGCCATGGTTTCAGGGTTCACTTCCGGTAGGCCCCACTTGTTGAGTTTGACTGGGGACAAAGCTTCAGCAACTGTGGATTGAAATTTGTAAAGAAAAGGTTAGTACAGAAATGGAAGAGGAGAGGAGAGGAGAGGAGAGGAGAACAGAGTAGATGGTTCGTACCCTTCTTGTCATTCAGTGTTGATCCAAAGGCCGATATGACAAAGTTTGCTTTGATCTTCATTGTCTGATCTTCATCTTCAATCCATGTCCCATCATCAAGCTACAAGAAACATTATCACAGACATGTTAAAAACGCTAAGACAAAAGCAGTACGCTATCGAATAAAAGTGGTTGCTATACCAAATATTTTACTTGTTTCCTCACCTGTTCTGTCTTGAAGAACTCCATCGATACTATTTTCCCATCCTTTACGTTTACCTTTAGTAACGAACAAGACGTTTTCGTTAGTTTTATTTCTCCCATATCAGACCACGTGTCTTCCTCTTAAGCATTGTTTCTTTCTTTTTCCAAAACATGACACCCAAAACAAAGGGTTTATCACAGCCATTCTCAACCACACGCGCCCTCTAGCGATTGTTTCTGTCGCGACGAAGGTTTTAGTGGATGTCAATCACAAGGCGTTTCCATGACATTGTCGGAAAACACAAAGCTATAAGTGCACGTGCCTATAGAATGTAATGGAAACGCCTTGATTGACGTCTACCAACAGCTTCTTCGTCGCGATAGAAACAATCGCTAGAGCGGCGCGTGCGATTGAGAATGGCTGTAATGTCTTTATAGAAATGAGGAAAGAAGCAAGGTAAGATGAGATGACAAGGATTGTTGTTTGTTACCTTTTTAGGAGACATGAAAGGAAGGAATTCACATTTCTCATCCACAGCAAGCTGCATCTGAAATGAAAGAATATGGTACTTTATTAATGATGATTGGACCTCTGGTTCGGCGGCTGTACGATAAATTGAAATTCATGAACGACGCATGACTCTACAAAATCACCCAGGTCAGACATGTTGACAACAGTTCAACTCAAAGGTAAACAAGCAATCAAAACGATCGAACACAGGGTCTTCACGGCAACGGCAGCAAGGTACGGGATAGGTTGCTATCAATAGACGTCACTTCCGGTAATAGCTGCATTTTTAATGCCTTGTAGAATCTTGGAGGTTGTTTTGATCTCTTGTTTTCTGGTTTCATGTCGTAGAAATAGTCAAATACAATAGTTTGAGGACTTATTTTGACATTTTTTGACTTAACATCCACTAGTTGCCCCCCAGTCAACCGCTTGTTTTCCCCCCAGTCAACTCCAAAAAGTCACGTGATTGATAGTAAGCAATATACGACATCAGTTGATCCAATCAAAGCGCACTAGATAACACTCACCTCTTCAGGGACTGCTCTGATGTTAGTGAACCCCTTTCTGAAGGCAACAAACACCCTCTTGGCTCCACAGCGCAGGGCTGAGGTACAGCAATCGAAAGCCGTGTCTCCTGCTCCTAGTACGATGACGCTGCCGGTCAGCTGGGGCAGCTGACTCTTGCATGAACACATACCTTCAAAACAGAAACAAAACGCATTACAATCGCGAACAGCAAGCCATGACACAAACCATTGGCTTTGCTCGATGATCATTGGCGTGTTGTGGCTGAGGTGAAGGCTCAAGCCCTGGTAGACCAACAGGCGGGTAGGCGTTGCTGACTATGCGCGAAAAATATCTGCAACTGCAAGATCTTCACTGTGGCTTGGATGACTACGTAAAATGGCGGTCCTGTCTCATTTAGAGAAAATGAAGATAGAGGGCCACACGCAGGATTCAAGGAAGAGATCAAACAAATTCTAACACGTGATGCCAAGACCAAGGCAGAGAACCCAAGGCCCCACAGACCCAGAGGTGAGAGGAGAGTGTATTACTATAGCAGTTTTCGCATGACTATGAAAAACTCGGTGCCCGTGCTTGCCGTGAAGTGACCATGATGTTTTCTAAGATTTTAATTGACTGTTTTTTTCATCGCGAAAAGTGGTTGGTCTGACAGTGCCGTGACCTTGGCGTGACCGTGTCCGCGCAGTGTTCGTGACGTGTTTCGGGTATTTTATTGGATGGAGAGCAAATTTTCGTGCAATGTGATTGGTCTGGCGTACGCCTTACCGTGTCACGAGCGCGTTCTTGCTGCGATCTTTTCAGAGTCATACGAAGACTGCTATAGTACACCACTGCTTTGCTCGTTACCTGGTTTGCTTCCGCCTGAGACAACTGGTAGAAAATTCTTTGATGTGTAGAAACCATTCTCTATGGTAAGACCTTCAAACACATGGAACTGCTTGGGCTGGGGTAGGCCTGAGAAAGTAGTTTAAATTTTTAGCACCAGATATCATCGTCATCACCCTAGTCTTCATTATCATGAGCAACAACTCCACCATCATCAACATTACCGTCATCTTCACCAACAACATTACCATCCACAACATCACCATTATCGGCATGATCATCATCACCATCATCATTGCCATCATTATCATCACCATCATCAATGTCATCACTACCATCATTATCATCAACATCACAATCGTCAGCACCATCATCGCCTTCTTCAGCATCATTATCATCACCATCACCATCACCATCGCCACCACCATCACCACTACCACCACCACCACCATCACCATCACCACCACCACCACCATCACCATCACCATCACCATCACCATCACCATCACCACCACCACCACCATCACTATCATCATCATCATTATTATCATCACCACCACCATTATCATACATCATCATTAGCAATACCATATCATCATCAGCA